AACGTTCAGGGCCTGCTTTGGGCTGAGTATCTGTGCACATGCGTAGCAGAAGAACCCACCAGTGGTGAGGGTGGGGGGTGTCCACTTGCTCAGGTTCCCCCTCTAGTCACCAGAATGGAGGTGGGCAAACAGTGGGTGCTCCAATGACCAGATGCCAAAACAAAAGAAAATCAGAACAAAGCAAAACTGACAAAGTGTATTGTCCACCTTTGCCCCAAGGTTCCCACAGAGTTTTTCCGCGGTGTTTCTGCTCCCCCACTTGGTCTTGCTGTTTGGTCTCGCCCAAGATGTCAGCTCTAGACCTCCGAGCCTGGCAGATTCAAAAGTACGCGATTTCTTACTTCAGCTTCAAGTTCTACAAGCTATAAGGCTTCAAACTTTTCAAGTATTCCTATCTCGGTGGTTCCGAGTTTTGGAGCTCTGCCCTGGATCTGCTTTGCCTGGTATTCTGTGGTATGGCTGACGGCGAACTTCACTGCACCTCCACCCTAGCCGCCATCAAGCCGCGCCTCCTCCATCATCTTTTAATTCCATTTTCCCATGAACTCTTTGAAGCCCCCTCCATGGTGCTATGGGAGGTCAAAATAAGAGGTGTGGCTAGGGCGGCAGTCGGGAAAGGTACCCTACTGGTGACACTTCAGGTTCTAAGAAAATAGAGTCTCTAATCCAGGGGTGGGGAACCTTTTTCTGCCCCAATTTTAACATCATTAGTGGGCCGTACAAAATTACCGACTTAAAAATTAACCTGCTATACTTGGTCAAAAGGAGCTCTGGTAGTGTAGTGGTTATGAATCGGGCTGCTAACCTCAAGGTCAGCAGTTTGAAACCACAGCTGTTCTGAGTGAAAAAGATGAGGCTTTCTGCTCCTATAAAGATTTACAGCCTCAAAAACCCTATGCAGAGTTGCTATGAGTCTGAACCGACTCTATGGCACCAAACCACCACCACCAGCAGCATATTTGGTTAAACATTTAATTAACTCACCCCCTAATGTGATGGCTGAAGCCCTGGTGTGGTGCTCTGGGTTAATGTACTAGACTGCAAGGTCAGTTTGAACAGCAAAGTTGGCAGTTGAAGCTTATAAGCTGCTTCTCATAAACCCTATACAGACTTGCTATGAGTCAGAACGGACTCAACAGTACTTAGTGATGACATGGAATGTGATGGCTAGAGCTGTGGTTGCCTTGGCAGGGTCAGACCCAAAGATTTCCAGGGCCTGTGTCTGATCTGTAGCAAAGGAGTGCAATGATGGAGTGTTTGACTGCTAGCTGCAAGGTCAGCAGTTCAAGCCCATTCAGTGGCTCCATAGGAGAAAGATGTGCTGAATTGCTTCCATAAAGATCCCACCGAAGGGGCAGTTCTACTCTGTCACATGGGTTCTCCATGAGTCCTAGATGAGCTTGACATCACCTAACTTGACAGCAGCAGCTTCCACCTGTAACAGAAACAGCTGCGGATGACATAACGCGTATATGACAGGGTAGTGAAGCATGTGCTTACCTCCACAGTGATGAAAACCTCTTCCAGATGATTTGCAAAGTTTTCCATCTCAATAATCTGCTTTTCTAACTTGAACATGTTTTTGTGAATTTCATCCTGTCAAACAGAAAAAGCTTTAAGGAGATAGCTTTTGTCTCTTTGTTGTGGAAGGTATGTTAGGTTGATCCTCTATCTGCTTAAAATACACATGCACTCTCAAGAGAAAGAACCAAGGAGACCTCTTACCTTGGCACTTTCCAGTGCTTTATCGAGTGGGGTCACCTCATGCTCCTTGTGTTCATCCAAAGCCTCACAAGCTCTTACTGGAGTTTTGCAAGTGACACAAAAGATGCTGGGAGCTTCTTCCTCATCTTCCTCTTCTGGAATGACATAGCATTCGTACTCTTCACTGGACCGGCCCCGTGTATACCTATAGGCTTCTCGCAGGTCCTGGCACTGGTCTGCCGAGCCCCACCCTCCGAAGCTCAGGTCCTCAGTCTCATTTGCCTGTTCACCAAATCGCCAATCTTTCTGTTCCCTGACTGGCTCTCTTCTCTTCATCACATAAGGAGGATATTCTGAAATCTCGGTCCTGAGTGGATTTTCACCAAAAAACTCATCTCCTAACTCATGGTCATCTTCAAATCCGAATAAATGGGCAAATTCATCAACTTCCTCTTGAAGGTCTCTTTGAGTCCTAGCTTTTGCTGCCGTTCTTGGCTCCTTGGTCATTTCAGTTGGAACTACTTCTCTTCTCATTCTAGCGTTTTCTTCTGGGAAGATCTGCAGTCTGTCTTCAGAGTCATACAGATCCATGGGATAAAGGTGGAAGTCGTTGGGAGCAGTAGCCCTACCCAGCCCGCGTTCCTCCCTATCTGCATTCTCCATTGTAGTTCTGGAAGCCTTGGGCAGCAATTTGTCCAAGAGGAATCCTTCCTGGACAGTTAATCGTGAGTATTCTCGGCCCTATAGCACAAAAGGAGAAACAAAAATCAGTTTCTCAGGAGGGCATTGCAGTAGGGTGGTCACTGCACTGAGCTCACTCATTCAGGATTTTAAATATCATTCGAGTGGCTTAGTTGTGGTTTCACACTGTAAAGTGAGCTTTGTATTCTACCAAAGATGGGCTAAGTTTTAAAAAGGTAAAACAAGACTACTGAAGAAGCATTGATTGATTTGACTAACTAAAGACTCCTGTATATAAAAATAATTCAAAAGGCAAAATCATGGGAGTATCCCAGTCAATTATTAACAAAAAAATTGTACAAATGAGCTGAAAAAAACTGAAGACCTCTGTAGATGAACGTGCAGGGAAAATTCACACAACAGTGCTTTTGTGTATATTAATTATAAGGCTCCTTGGTGGCACAATGCCTGTGTACTTGACTGTTAACCAATAGGTTGCCAATTCAAACCCACCCACTGGCTCCACAGGAGAAAAATTTGGCTATCTGCTCTGATACAGATCGCAGCCTAGACTCGCCCATAGAGTTTGCAATTCTCCTCTGTCACATGGGTTGCTATGAGTCTAAATCCACTTGGAAGTACTTAGCAACACCATAATAACTATACACAAACATTCAGAAAATTAGCCATTCTTAAGAGTAAGTAACAGAAATAAAATGCCATTTTCTTTTCCACTTAGCAAATATTTAAAGATACAAAATTATAAACCAACTTTAGGTGATATGGATTGAATTATGTGCCCCCACCCCCTAAACTATGTGCTGTGAATCCTGACTTCTATACCTGTGGTTACACCTTAGAGATGTTGCAGGTTCGGTTCTAGACTACTCCAATACAAAGAATATCACAATAAAGAGAGTCACGCGAAATTTTTGGCCTCCCAGTATATATAAAAATAATGTTTACAGTAGACCGTAGTCTATTATAATGTAAACATACTTTTATATGCACTAGGAAACAAAAACTTCAAGAAATCCTGGTAGCACTGTGGGTTAGGCAT